GGGGGTTTTTTTTTTGAAAATTTTTTTTAAAAACATATTTACCGCCCCCTTACTACCCTACTATCTATTAAATTTATATTATTATAATTTATTACGTTTTTATTAAAAAAAAAAAAAGTTTAAATTCCCCCCTCTTTTTTTATTTTTGTCCTCTTTTAATTCGGCGCAATTAATTAAAAGTTTTATTTTGTTTTTTTTTTTTTTTTTAACCTATTATAAAATTTGGAAGAGGTCTTTTGACCAACCATATTAAAAAAAAAAAAAAAAAAAAAAAAAAAAAAAACTATAAAAATTACCTTCCAATCTTTTTTAATAAGGATAAATACAAAATTATTTATTAATTATATTATTATTATTATTCTGAGTCGATGAAAAAAACTAATCGACTTTAAACAAAAAAAATTTAAAAAATTTAAAAATTCAAATTTTTAAAAAATAATTAATAATAACCCGGGGAAAAATTAAATTACAACTAGATGAAAATAAAATAATTGTTGTTTATTATTGAAATATAAATTTTGAATAAATTTGGAAAGGGTGGTGGGTATGTTATATTTTGGAAAAAAATATTAAATTTGTTAATTTTTCAAACCCAAAAAATACTATCCCCAACAAAATTTAAATTTGTGCAGCGGCTCCCCCCCCAAATAAAAATAATTTCCTTGTTGTTTTTTTTTTTTTTTTCAAAATTCCTTATAAAATAAGTTATCGATACATTTTATATATATAATGTATTATTTATTGTTGTATGTGTAATAATTCCTTTTTATTAAATTTTTTTTTTTTCTTGTTTTTTTTATTTTATTTTTTATTGAAAATTTCTAAAAATATAAAAAGACAAAAATATATATAAATTTATATATTTGAAAAAAAAAAAAAAAAAAATTCAAAAGTTTGTTTTTTTATTACTTACAAATATTTTAAAATCGATAATTATTGTTCTATAAAAATTTGAAATAAAAATAATTTTAAATTAAAAAAGAAAAAAAAATTTTTCTTTTGGCATATAAAATTTTTTTATAATTTTTTATTATTGTTGAGATATGATTATTAATTTTATTATTATATTGTTAGTAATTTTTTATAAGATTATTATTTCCATAGATTTATTTTATATTATTTTTCTTGCCATATAATGGTTTTTTTTTAAAAAAAAATGAAATGAAATGAAAAAAAAAAAAAAAAAAAAAAAAAATAAAATAAAATAAAAAAAAAAAATTAAAAATAATAAAAATCAAAATTTTTTCAAATAATTATTCAAAAGTATCAAAAAAAGTGATGAATATTTTATTTTATTTGAAAATACCTACAATTTAAAAACACAAAACTTTTTTTTTTTTAATAATAAGTATTACTTTTAAGAAACCTTTATAAAAAATCAGAATTTTTTTTCATATAACAGAAAAAATAAACATCAAATCAAATAATCATATGTATTGTTTAAATAAATGTTTAAAATTTAATTAATTTTATTTTTTTTAATTTTTTTTTTTTTTCATTTTTTATAATAATTCTTTAAAGGAAATAATATACAAATAAAATTAACTCTTTATTCTGAATTGGAACTAAAGGCCACATTGATGAAAAAACAACCGCATATCGATAAAAACTCCATAAAATAAATTGGTATCAACCTGCATTAAATAAAAGGTTAGTATTATTATAAAAATTTTACAATAAAATGTTTAGGTTATTTTTAATTTAAAAAAAGGATTTTTTTATGTGAATATTTATTGGTGTTTTGTTGTGTTGTAATTTATTGTGTGATTTTGGATATGATCGTATATTGGGGCACTTTTTTTTTTTAACGCCTTGATCAACAATTATTTTCATTTTTTTTATTTTTTTTAAAATTTTTTTAAAAAAAAAAGATTTTTTTTTAATTTTAAAAAAATAATTATAATAATCAAAAGTGGCTATCGAATTGTTTGGTGTTGATAAATGTGTTTCTGACTATAAATCTTAAGATGTGGTTGATTTTAAAATTTTTTTTTGGATTCTTTTTTTATATGTTGACATCAACACCACTTAACACCCAAAAAAAAAAAATTGAAAAATAAAATTAACCAATCATAAAGTTTTTAAATACTTACACTAAAGAATATTTATATGCTGTCGCAGAGGAAAGATTTTGAATTAGCATCGTCTCAAAAGCAATTAATGGACAAGATACTAACACAAAAAAAACAATAACTAGTGTTAAGCTTCCAGGTTCTCTGAACCAACCAGTTTTTTGATCTAACCACCATTCCAACGATGTGTGATACATTATTCTTATGATACAAGGGTAGATCATTGCGATGGCTTTAATTACAAATAGCGGAGAAAAAACGTAAATCCATTTTAAATTAACAGCTTCGTCAACCTACAAAATTAAGGTATTTAATAAATAAATAAATAAATAAATAAATAAATAAATAAATAAATAAATAAATAAATAAATAAATAAATAAAAATATTTACCTTTAAAAATAATAAAATATTAAACACAAAAAATAATAATGAACAAATTGTCATTGAAAACTGATCTAACCATTCTAAAGAGTAATCTATTCTTTCTGGAAAACATAGGGTAAATGCTATTAAATACACTGATAGTACAAATATTGGTATAAATACATATATCATAGCAAAGTTTTCCAATGTTAGCTTGCAAACTAATAAAACTATAAACATTATTATACTTAGAATCGGTGTAAATAATAATACTTTATATAGTTTTTCACTTGGTTGGAGTGGCAGTATAAAAAACAATGAAAAAAACAATGGCTTTATACATGAATCTGGAGAAAGTTCTTCTTCATATTGATGATTATACTGTATTATTGTTTAAAATATATTAGTGAAAATATTAATTGGTTAGTTTTTATAGTTTATACTTACAAGTGTTCTAAAAAAAACAAATATTAGGGGGCTGCATATACATTGTAGTGTAACAAAAAGTAATGGAAGGAATATTATTGGCCAACTCCAATCTATATAGTTGTCTAATTTTAAACCTATAAAAATTGTAAACAAAATGAGAAGTGCTACTGATAGCCATTCACAAGGTCTTGAAAAAAATGTAAAAAACATTACTTTGGTACTTCTATTAATACTCTTCATTCTTTTCTCTTGTTTCTTTTGTTTTTTTATTAGATCCATTCTATCTGATAGTTGCGTTTTAATTTTTATAAATGATTCAATATAATATAGTTTACTATTAGGTTCTTGATTTTTTATTGATTTTGTGTTTGTTAAAATATTATTTACTGTATTATTATTTACATTTGTATTTGTATTTAAATTGTTATTCGGTGCATTTGTATTATGGTTTATTTGATTATATTGGGGAGGATGAAGTTGGGGAGGTGGGGGTGTTTGTATGTTTCTATTATTTAAATGATAGTTTACACCGTTATTGTTGGTGTTATTTTGATTTATAAATTGGCCATTTATAGGCTGGAATCTTCTTAAACTGTTTCTCGAAGAAGGATATACTGTACCATTGATCTGAGGTGTCGACCTCACAACAATCTCACCCTCTTGATCTAATATAATTGGGGGTTCTAATAATAGCATTATATTTGAGGATGGATTCTTTGCATATTTAGTTTTTTTCATTTTATATAATACTTCGTTTTGCCAATTTCTAATTACATATTTCCATAATGAAGAGTCATAGGTAATCTAAAAGGGTTATAGTTAGTTATTTAGTTTTTTTTGATTTATTTATTTTAAAAACTTACGATATTGAAATTTTTACAAACCATACTTAATCTTCCTAACGACATTGGGTCTAAATGTGATAAAATACTTAAAATTAATTCATCGGGTAAATTTTCAAAGGAACAAAAAACATCCAACTGAATTTCTTCTAATTTTTTTTCATTATTTTTATCTTTTTCATTGTTTTTATTTTTTTGACTATCTGGATTAAGTTTTTTAATTCTTTTCATTAAAATAATATCTTTAATACTTTTCTTTAAATTCCTATTGTTTATACTATTACTATTATTAGTGGTATTAAAATTGACATTGTTTATATATTTATTTCCTATATCTGATGTACTTCCATTGTTATTGCTTTCGTTATTTAAATTATTGTGATAAAAGTTATACTCTGTGTTATCATAGTTTTCTATACTATTTACCCTATTGATATTACAGTTGTCGTTTATTTGTTCATTAATAGAATTTGTATTACATGATATTATATCGTTGGAGTAATCATTATTAGTATTTGTTGAGGATACATCATTTTGGTTTTGATCGAGAAAAAAGTTAGTATAGTTATTATTGCTCCTATTGCTATTATTTAAAATATTATTATTATTATTATTATTATTATTATTATTAATATTATTAAAATTTAAAATACTATGTGGGATACTATCGTAATCATCAGCACCTTCAGTAATTGCTTTGTTATCAGTGTATAGGTTATTTTATGTCTAAATTTCTATATCTATTGATGCATCATTATGTAAATCTGAACTGAAATTGGCTTTCATTAGTACTATTATTATAATGATTATTATCAATACCATTGCTAATGATACTAGAATGAAAGGTTAATATAACTATAATTAGCATTACTACTAGTGACACTGGTAGGACATCTACTTATGAACTATGTATTCAGTCAATAATATTTTGATTCCACCCAATTTAGATACCTTTAAATGTTTTTTCTATATAAAAAGTATTTTAATATTTTTTTTTAATTTTCCCCAAAATAAAAAAGAGGAAAAAAAATGGGTTTAAAAATTAAAAAAATATATAAAATTTATTTAAAAATTTAATTTGGTTTTTTTTGGTATAAAAATAAATTAAATTTTAAAATAAAAAAAAAAATAAAAAAATTAAAATTAAAAATTTTTAAAAAAAAAAAAAAACCATTGGGGGGGGGGGGTAATCTTTATATAATTTATTTTTAATTTTTTTTATTTTAAAATATTAAAATTTTTCTATTTATAGGAAGTTTGTTGTATATTTGATCTTTTTACAATATTTTCATCAAATAGGGAGTTTGAACTTCTTTTTTTATTTGATGAGTTGTTTAAACCATTACTACTATCTCTTAAATTTAAAAGTATATTTGCAAATAAAATATCAGAGTCGTCTTTGGTTGTTGCGGTTATTTGAATTGGAGGAGAATAAATATCATCTTGTTGTTTTGGTTTTTGTTGTGCTTTTAAAAATACATTGTTATCCAATTTTTGTTCTTGTTGTTGTAGGGGATGGTGTTGGTCATTATCAGAAAAATTTAATAAACTAAATTTACCTTGGTTTAAGTTATACATTGAATTTGATGGTGATTGGGTTGGTGATGGTGATTTTGGTGATGGTGATGGTAAGGGTGATGATGTGTTTGATGAGGATATAGAAAAATCTTTAGTTGTTAAAGAGTTAAGTATTGGGGTTAATGATGTAGATAATAAACCATTGTTGTTATCCTTGATATTATTATTGTGGATATTATTATTATTATCGGTATTTAGTGGGTTAAAATTATTTTCTAAATTTCCATTATTATTATTTATATTATTGGGGTTTATTGGTATATCTGAATTATTTAAAGTTTCATCCCATATTAAATTTTTATTTATATTATTGGAATTATTTGTACTATCGTTCTGTAATGGTATATTATTGTTCGAGTTTATACTATTTGTGTTGAGGTTTATTTGTTTTTTTTGTAACCAGGCATTATTAATATTATTTTGGATTGAGCTGTTCGATTCAGATAAATGATAGGTTTTTTCATGCTGATTTTTATTATGTTTTGTATTTTGGTTATGAAAGTGATTATTATTATTATTTGATATGTTGTTATTAATCGGGGTTGTAGTGTTTTGAATTTGTTGATTATATATATTTTGAAGTTGTTGTTGAATTTTATCCTCGTACATGGAAATATAACTATTATCTTTATTTGCATTTTTATCCTTTGATTTTGAATTTTTTCTTGGTTGAGGGTTTGGGCTTTGAATCAAACTAACACCATTATTTGTGTTATTTGCTTGATTTTGACTAAAACTATTTATAAGATTATTATTATTTACATTTTTTAATTGTTGAGCAAAAAAATTATTCATATTCTCATTTATTGAGGATACTGGTTGCTGAATATTTTTTGTTGAGGTTGAGGTGATGGTAGAAATGGTTGGTGCTGAATTTAAACTACTAGATAGTTTTAGATTCTGCTTATTGGTTGTTGTAGGTGTGTTGGTTATTGTCGGTGTATTTATTGAACTATTACTGTTTGATAAAACCAATGAAGGAGATGATAATGATAGTGATGATGAAACTGGGACAGGTGAGGAAGATATAGTGGAAAGAGATGATAATGATATAGACGATGGCATATTAGATTTATTATTATTATTATTATTAATAATTTGTTGCTGAGTTAATAATGGTTGGTTTTTGGTTAAATTTATAGTTGGTGATAATAACATTGGTTGTTCACCTTGTGATTTTTGAATATGATGATTTAATGAATCATTTGATACTGATAAAGATATTGACCCAAAGGAGGTAATAGTTTCTTGGCTTTTACTAATTTTTAATGAATTGGTACCACCAATAGTATCTGAACAGCTTGTAGTGGCAGGAGCATTTGATGTTGTGGAACCACCTTCATCCCCCAATAAAAAATTAAAGTTCATTTTAGTGGCCATGGTTTTCTTTTCTTTTTTATTTTTTATTTATTTTTAAACTATATATTTGAGATAATATTATTTTTTAATTCCAAGTTAGTTTTTTAAAAAATTTATTTGTTTGTCTTTAATAGTAATTAAAAAATATAATAAAAAAAATTGGTTTTTTAATTATTTTTATTTATTATTATTATTATTATTATTATTATTATTATTATTATTATTATTATTATTATTTTTATTTTTATTTAATTATTTATTTAATTATTTTTTTTTATTTTTATTTTCTTTAAATACACACAGACACACTTTCAAATACACATACGCACTACATATATAAACAATTATTTTTTTTATTTTTTTTTATTTAAAATTTAAAATTTTTAATTTTAATTTTAATTTATTTTTATTTTTATTTTTTTTTTATATTTTTTAAATAATATACATGTATTGGGTGATAAAAAAATAATAAATAAACAAATATATTTTATTATAATAATATATAATGAAATATTAATTTATAAATTAAATAATTATAACACATAAAAAAGTAATGATAAAATAAAATAAAAATAAAAAAATAAAAATAAAATAAAAAAAAATAAAAAAATAAAAATAAAAATAAAAATAAAAAATTTTAAAAATAAAAAAAAAAAAAAATCAATTACATATTTTTTTTTTTTTTTTTTTCCATTTTTTTTTTTTTTTTCCTTTTTTTTTAAAATTTTTCTTTATTTTTAATTTTTTTTTTTTCATAATTTGAAATCATTTTTAATTTATAATATAGTTTTTTACATTTAAAATTAAAGATATTAAATATGACATTTGGAAAACAAATTGACCCAGATTTAACTAGACTTTTAGATAAAAAACTTAATGGTATGTATATATTTTATCCATTCCATCTTTCTATTACTTGTATTATTGTATTAATTTTATTTGCGCAGTGGAGCTTTCTTATATTGCACAGTCACACCTCTAAATTTTATTTAAATTAATTAAAATTTCATCTCTAATTTTTATAATAATAATAATAATAATAATAATATTTTTAAAATATTTTGTATTGTGTTATTTTATATTATTAATAATTATTAATATTCATTATAATAATAATATTAATACATTTTTTTTTTTTTTTTTAAATTTAGTTAAATTAAATGGAAATAGAACCGTACAAGGTATTCTTAGAGGTTTTGATACCTTTATGAATATCGCTTTAAAAGATACTGTAGAAGTCGTTTCACCAACAGAAAAATATGAAATTGGTATGGTTGTAAGTATCTATAATATTTTTATTATCATTCATATATCTATCTATGTCTATTAACTCCTTACCTACTTTATAAACTATAGCTTATCAGAGGAAACAGTATCATATTGATGGAACCACTCGAATCAATGTAAGATCTACAATTGTTGAACAGACAAAAGATAAAAAGATAAAAAGATAAAAAGATTTTTGTTTATTAACTATTCTCAATTTTAATAATATAGGGTAGTAGAAAGAAATATTCAAAATTAAAAAGGTTACTTTTATATATAAATTTTAATAATGCCGATTTTTTTTTTTTCAGAAAACGCACTATCGAATTTTCATCAATTACATATAATTTTTAAATCAAAAAACAAAACAACCACAAACTCAAACATCAAAACAAATAATACGAAACCAAAATTAAAATTATTAAAGATTACAGTTTATTAAAAATGATAAAACGATATAATAAATAATAATTTTTAAATGTACATAATTTTTTTTACAAAAAAAACCATTTTATGCTGATTTGATTTATTTTAGTTTTATTTAATTTTATTTTACAAAATGTTGTTATTATTATTATTTGTAGATATTATTTATTATTAGTTTATGAGAAATACTTTGTTCCTATTTTTCTGACTCTTGCATCAAAAGCTGTTGAAGTGATTGGCTTATTATATTCATAAAATGGATTTAATAAAATCTAAATTTGTAAATAAAATATTAGTAAACCTATTTGCAATATCTAAATATGAAAATCTGTATATTACTTTTAAATAAAGATCATGAACATCCACAAAAAAGTTTTTAATGGCATCTTCATCCTTCTTTTCATGAAGGAGCATAAATTTAATATCTATTTATAATACAAAAAAAAAAGGATTAATAATCTTCCTAAATAATAAAAACAAATAAACATATTACTATCATTTATACATACGACCAGCAGTAACAAATGACGATATATGGTTTTTATTAAACTTATCTATTATTTTTAAATACCTATTTATAAATAATAAAAAAATCGCTGATTAATATATTCATTTTACTATGTGTAAAAAATGGTGCTATTGATGATCAATATACATACATATTATTTGTTTTCCAAACATATTCTTCTACTATATCTAATGAACCATGTGCTATATATTGATGGGCATAAGTCTCTTTCTATTTATTGAAATATTATAATATCGTTAATTGCCATTATTATCAAAGTAAAATATTTATATATATATATACCTTTTGTGTATTTACTGGAAATTCGATTTCATATAATGGATTATCGTTTTTCCCAATAATTAGAAATGTATAAATAGACATCTTTCTATATTTGTTTATATTAATATAATAAAAAATAAAATAAATGAAAATTTAAAAAAAATTTAAAAAAAAATAAAAAAATAAAAAAAGTAAAAAAATTTAAATTTTTTTTTAATTTATTTAATTTTTTCACACCACAAATAAGGAATATCCAAGAAATAAAAAGCTGCAAATACAAATACAATATATGTTCCTTTTTAATAATTCAATTATCTAAATTCAAGAAATAAAAATACAATTGGTAAATTTACAAAATTATTTTAATTTTATTTTTTTATGTGGATTATTGGGTTTGTTCATGTTTTGATTAAACTCATTATATCCAATTCCAAACCCCATAATCATAAATAAAAATTTCAATTAATTTTTTTACAAAAGTTGATATTTATTTTTTAAAATAAAATTTTTTTTTCAATCACCAAACTTTATAAAAAATTTTTATTTTGTTGATTCTCAAATAATATAAAAGATATACATATTAATAAATAAATAAATAAACAAAATAATAATAATTGTAATTATATTAAATTTTATATTGTAGTAAAAAGCATATACCAACTTTATTTTTTTTTAGAAATTTAATTATAAACAAAATGGGCTTCTTTGGTGGATTCTTTAGCTATGGCAACAGTTCAAATGGTCCTTTGAAATCTGGCTCTTCAAAAGGAAATGGAAACAATGGAAACAATGGAAGCAATTGGAGTAATGGTGGTAACAGAGGTGGAATTGGTTCAGTTGGAAGAAGCTGGGGATACTAAATCTGTATTAAAAAAAAATTAATAAAATAAATGGTGATTTAATATCATTTAAATTATTCAACACTGTAATATAAATAAAATAGCATTTAGTAAAATCTATTCAATTTTATAAACCTTTCCTTTTATATTTTATTTTATTTCTTTTATATTTTTTGATCAAAAATAATTTTTTATTTTTCACAAATTTTTTTTTTTTTTTAATTTTTTTTTAATTTTTTTATTAAATATTTTTTAATATTATTTTATTTGCTTAATTAATAAAACCAAATATGGCTCATCACATCCCTCCACTTAATTTTGGTATGGTAGCCGATGATTTATATAGATCAGGTCAACCTAACGAACTCAATTTCCCATTTTTAGAAAAACTACAATTAAAAAAGATTATATTCCTTGCCCCAGATGATCCTTCACAACAATTGTAATAATAAAATAATATTTAAACAATAATAATAATAAAAATGAAACAATAGCAATAGCAATAGCAATATAGATAATAACTATAGATAATAATAATAAAATCAACAACATATTAACTTTTTTTAAATTTCTATTAGTCAAAATTTTGTAGAAGATCAAGATATTGAATTAATACATTTAGGTATGGACACACATCAGAATCCATGGAACCCGATTTCTGAAGAAATTGTTATATCAGCATTAAAGATTATTTTAAATATGGAAAGCTATCCACTCATGGTTATGTGTAATTTAGGTCGTCATAGAACTGGGACAGTCATTGGGTGTCTCAGAAAATTACAACGTTGGAATTTAACTTCAATTTTTGAAGAATACAGAAGATTTGCAGGCAGTAAAGTTAGATTATTAAATGAACAATTTATAGAACTTTTCGACACTGATCTTGTTGGTATACCAGATAATGCCCCAAAATTTTTATATTTAAGCTAAATAATATAATAAAATGTAAATTTAAAATCATAAAATAAAAAGTACAAGAATTTTTTTTTTTTTTTTTTTTATAGTTTTATTTATTGTTTTACATTATAAAATTAAATAAATTTATATTTTATTTAAATTTAAACTATATATTATTATGTATAAATATATATATTACTATTATTATTATTATTAAATATTATTATTATTTTATTATTGATTATAAATAAAATAATGATATTTTATTTATTTTTATATTTTTTGTTTAATGTTTTTTTTTAAATATTAATTTCGTCATCGATATCATCTCTTGGTGAGTCTTGTTGTGAAAGTGGTGAGTCATATGATCTATCATCATAATTTTGATTATTATTATTATTGTTATTATTCATACTATGACTATTTTGGCCACTAGTTGGTATAATATGTTTATCGTTATGTGGTGATGAATGGTGGTGATGATGGCCATTACTACTGTGGTGATGTGATGAAGAATGGTGATGTGATGAAGAATGGCTGCTACTTGTACCACTAGTTAATGGAAGTCCATCTGGTTTAATATGTCTTGTTCTTCTGCCATCCTTATGAAGATCTTGTAATTTACCAATTCTAATTAAATATTGACCATGACTTTGAACTTGTTCTCTAGTTTTATCGGGTAAATGACTATGAATAGTTTTCCAACTTTTACCATATTTATTGTAGGCTTCAGCAAATTTCTCATCATCTTCAGCAGTCCATAAAGTGTTTCTTCTTGAGCCAACCTTTCTTCTTTTAACATCTTGTTTATCATTATCGTTGCTCTTTCTCTTGAGATCATTTTTCTCTGGTGAATTGTAGGATTTTGAGGAAACACGATCATTATTATAATTATCTCTAGAATAAACTGGCGAGGATGATCTTGAACGTGATAATGATCTTGAACGTGATCTTGAACGTGAACGTGACATTGATCTTGAACGTGAACGTGATCTTGAACGTGATGGTGAACGTGAAAGCGATCTTTCACTTGAGTTATCTAACTCTCCATCTACCTCACGGTCTTCAAAGAATTTGAGCAATGTCTTTCTATATTTTGACAATAAAATTGTTTTTTTGTTGAGTGTAAGCTCGAGGTCACGTACTTTATCTTGGAGTATTTGATTATGTTTATTTGAATTATCCAAAAGGGTTTGAAGTTCACGAATATATTGTTGTTGTTGTTGGAATTGTTGAGAGTTTAATGTTGGAGTTGAGTCTTTTTTAACTGATGAGGAGGTGGTTGTTGTTGTTGTTGAACTATTATTACCACTCATCGAGGATAATGATGGTGATGATGATGATGGTGAACCATTGGCACTACCTACACGCTCGTTTCGACGGTCTGATCTGGCGCTATCTCTTTCACGGTCTGATCTTCTATCTCTATCTCTATCACGGTCGTTGCTACTTCCAACTCTTTCATCCTTTTCGTTATAATGGCCATCTCTATCTCTACGTTCTCTATTATCACGTTCTCTTTCACGCTCTCTATCATTATTACCACGGTCTCTATTATCTCTTTCACTACGTTCCCTTTCACGATCTCTTTCGTTATTACTACGATCTCTACTGTCTCTGCTATCATTACGTTCTCTGTCACTACGTTCTCTTTCACGGTCTCTGTCACTTCTGGCACTGTCTCTTGTTGAGCCACCACTATCGCCTCTCGAACCACCATCTAAATCTCTTTTCTTTTCATCTCTTGATGATGGTGATTTTACATTATTACTTTCATTATTATTATTAATATTATTATTGTTAGAGTTACTGTTCATTGTCGGAGAATTAGTTGGTTGTTGTGGTGAAACTCTATTTTCAGATTTAGTTGGTGATTGCATTATATTATTATTATTGTTGTTATTAATATTATTGTTGTTATTGTTTGATTGTTGTGGTATTTGTGGTTGTGGTTGTGGTGGTTGTGAGTATAATGGTTGTTGTTGTTGCTGTTGTTGTTGTTGTGGATTATGTACTTGTGTTGTGTTTTCGTGTTCAGTTGAGTTTTGTTGTGGTGATCTTGGTGAAAATGAATAATTTGAACCTGGTGATGAATAATAATCTTCTTCTTTTTTATTTGATGAAAAATCGGTATTCATTGGTTTATAACTTGTTTCTGATTCCATTTTTCTTTGTTTTTTTAAAAAAAAATTTTAATGATGTTGATTATTAAATGAAATTGAAAAAAAAGAAAAAATAAATTTTTTTTTTAGGAGGTTGAGGTTGTTGAAAATTTTTTTTTTTTTTAAAAAAAAAAAAAAGTGATCACAACGAATAAAATTGAAAAATAAATACCAAAATAAACAAAACCAAATTTAAATTCCTTTATAAACTATTTACTCTGTATATTACATAAAAGGGAAAAAAAAAAAATTAATATTAAAAATTTCGATATTTTAATTTTGAAATTTAGTAATCAAAAAAAAATCCAAAAAAAGAAAAACAAATGACATGTAATTTATTAAAATCTAAATTAAAAACCAATTTAAATTTAAAACAATAGATTATATTTAAAATTTTACGCACCAATATAAAACAGTTATAAGAAGAAAAAATAAATAATAAAAAGAAGAAAAAATTTGATAAGAAAAAATAGAGAGAAAAAAATAAAATAAAAAAAAAATAAAATAAAAAAAAATTTAAAAAAAATAAAAATAAAAAAAAATTATTTCTCTCTAAGATATTTTTTTTTTTTTTTGTTTGTGTGAGAAACAAAGAGAGACAAATTTTTTATAAAAAAAAATTATAGTTTTTTTTTTTTGAAATAAAGAATTACGAAAAAAAATTAAAAAAAAATTTACTTTGCCACAAAAAAAAATTATCTGTGCACATATAATTTATTATTATTGTTGTTGGAATATGTGAAAAAAATATTTTTTTTAATTTTTTTTAATTTTTTATTTATAAAATTTTTTTTTAGAAACCAAAGACAAAAATACTGACGCAAAATAAAAAACATATAAATAATAATATAATGAATTTATTTATATATATATTTACAGTTGGTTTCTTTTTTTTATTTTTTTTTTTATTTTATTTTATTTTATTAAATTATACAAACTTTTTAAAAAAAAATATAAAGTAAAATTTATGAATTATAAAAAAAATAACAATTCAATAAATTAAATAAATAAATAAAATTTTAAATAAATATATATAAATTATTTATTTATATTTATATTTATAAAAATGAGTGGTGGGGGAAATGAAATGTGTTTATATATAAGAGGAAAAAAGTAAAAATTTTTTTTTTTTTTTTGAAGTGGTATAAGGTGTGGTGCATGAGTATATACAATAGATTTTACTATAGTTGAATTCCAATCGA